AAGAGTCGCCGCCGAAGGGAAGAGTCGTCGCCGAAAGGAAGAGTCGTCGCCGCCTGGATGGAGAAGCCGTCGGTCCTCTAGTGATCACTTTGAATCAAAACTCGGGTAAGTATAATAAAAATGCTTTTATTAAAACCAAAAGATTAATTAATTATTACAGTTTTGACGGCAGTTTATATACCATCTCAGTATTCAGACTTTGGCACATCCGGTTTGAGAAACGCCAAACAGTCGTCACAATATTGCAAATTTTACATTATTTGTTAACTTTTATGTTTGTGTTTCACTTTATTATCTGTTTTTGTCTCTTTGTGTCCTTTACATGTGTGTCCTAATCTTATTTCATCTATTTTTTATGTTTGTTTTTGCGTGTTTTGTATGTTTTAATCTATTTTCATTTCTTTTTTTTCCTTTTCAGACTTTATCCTCACTTCTTATCTAAATGTGAACTCTTTTTCTAATCTTTTTTCATCTGTTTTTTTCATTTTAGACTTTATTCTTACTCCTTATTACACCTCATTTCCTGTCCCTTTCAGTTCAGTTTTGTGTTGTCTTATTGTCTGTATTTGTGTTTACAATTGCCCTATGTTTACAATAGTTATGTGTGGTTATGTCTAACAGGTATGAATATTTTGTGTGTATTTATTTATTTATTATTTATTATTCTTTATTTATTATTAATTTAATTCATCTTCATTCCACACTTTTCACTCTATCTCTACCATTATCTTTTGCTTCACTTTTTCTTATCTATACTTTATGCTTATAAACTGTTTTTCACTTTTCATTTTTTACTTCTCATCACTTTTCTATTCATTATCTTTTTACTAACTTTTTTTTATCTTTTCATTTTTACTTCTCATTCTTATCACTAATTTTTCATTTCATTATTATTGTGTGCATGTGTTGTTTGTGTTGTGTTTGTGTTTTAACAGTAAGTATTTTATGTATTTTATATTTTGTTATTTTTATATTTATGTAATTATTTTATTTTATTTTTAGCCGTTAGCGGATGGGGTTCGGCACGACCGCCGACAGGAGCTGTATGGCCAACGAGTTACTGAGCGCCGGCCGCCGATAACCAGATGAAAGGCAGAGTTGGCCGCTCAAGAAACTCGGCGGACATACAGCTCCTACAACATGACTCCCCCTCCCGGCTCCATTGCGTCCTCGCAATGTTAGTAAAACTATTGTTAAAAATAATAGATTTAAAAAATCCCATAAAAAATTAAAATTTTAAGATTACTTATAAAATTATAGATTAAACATAAAGATTAAATGTATATTCATTCCAAATCTTCCTCCGGATCTGAAGTATTGAGTTCTTCAACGATATCGTGTTTTTTTCCGTAGTCCTGTGTGTCCACGCGGTCTGTTACCTTATACTCTGGTTCCTCGCTTTCTGGTTCCTCGCGTACTGTTTCCTCGCGTTGTGTCTCGTCTTTTTCTTTGCTTGACGCATCCGTCACTTCGGGGATTTCGTCGTCGTTCCACACATTAAGGCGCCTAGCATGGGCACGACGTCTCCTCCTCGGATTGTCCACTTTCTGTAACTCATAAGTCAATCGAGACAATTTCTTTATCACTCTAAATGGCCCGTCGGCTTGTGATAATAACTTAGCGCTAAGACCTACCTCACGATGAGGGGTATGTAGGGACACCAAGTCTCCTACGTTAAATTCCATATTACGATGTTTCTGATCGTAATAGATTTTGCTCTCCACTTGAGAGTCTGTGATTCTTTTCTTTACAATTTCTTGTGCCTTTTGTAGGCGTTCTCTATAATTCATTCCAAACTTAAAGTCACGGGGTATGTTATAGGACACATCCAGCGGTATTTTTGCTTCTCTTCCATACAATAAAGCAAAGGGTGTCACTTTCGTTATAGTGTGTTGACTTGTGTTGTAGACGAATGTAATTCTCGGCAGATATACGTTCCAATCTGTTTGATTACTCCTGACGTAATGCTTGAGCATTGTTTTAATGGTTCCACAGGCCTTTTCCGCCGCACCGTTGGTCTGCGGTGAATATGGCGTTGATTTGACGTGATGAGACGCAGTCATTCTCAATGTCTCTTCCATGAAGTGTGAGACAAAGTACTTAGCGTTGTCGGTCAGTACACGGTTAATCGCTCCGTGTCTTGTGATTATGTCCTGTACGAACCATTGACTTATTGTATCGGCCCTAACATTACGGAAAGCTTTTGTTTCTAACCATTTGCTAAACAGATCGACGAGTATTATGATGTACTGGTTACCCTTTGTAGAGGGTGTTATCGGGCCAAATACGTCAACGCCAACTATTTCAAATGCTTCAATTGGCTCATTTGGTTGCATTAGTCCTCTCGGCAATTTATTTTTAGATTTATTTAATTGACAAGACTTACAATTTCTGATATAAGTCTTAATTGATTTTTCACATCTCGGCCAATAAAAACGGGATTTGATTTTTACATATGTCTTCATAAACCCTAAATGGCCGCCAGATATCTCATTGTCGTGCAGATCTTTTAGTATTTGAAGTCGTAAATGTTTCGGTAAACAAATTAATAGAATTTGATTGCCATTGCTATCGAATGAAATCCTATAGAGTATATTATCTTTCATGACAAACTTTTTGATGTGTTTGTTATCGGATTTCTCTCGAATCGCTTTGACCACATCATTGCACCATGCGTCGAGTGCTTGTTCTTCTGGTACATTGATTGTTGTGGTCATCAAAACGGGAAAGTCTAATTCTTCGTCGTCTGGTTTATCAACGGGGTATCTCGATAAGGCGTCGGCATTTTGATGTAAAGCGCCCTCTTTGTAAATGATCTTGAAATCATATTCCATCAGAAGTAGACTCCATCGGGTAAGTCTGCCGTTTGGGTTTCGTATTTTCCATATGTATTGGAGTGGATTGTGGTCGGTATAGATTACGAAAGGACTGCCATAGATGTAGTGTCGGTATTTTTTAATTGCGTAAATTATTGCGAGACATTCTTTCTCGCTAATTGAATAATTAACTTGTGCTGAGTTGAGCATTTTGCTGTTGTAACTAATTACAACATGCTTATCGTCTTGAATCTGGCCAAGGATACAGCTAATGCCGTATCCGCAGGCGTCGGTGAATATTTCGGTTGAGAAGCCGTCTTTGAATTGCGCCAATATCGGGGCGTTGATTAGTCGAAGCTTCAGTTCTTCAAATGAGTTTTGACATTCCTTACTCCATATAAATGGCGCGTTCTTTCTCAGTAGTTTGGTTAATGGGTCGGCAATGTACGCGTATCTTTCGACAAACACACGATAGTAGTTCGTAAGGCCGAGAAAACTTTGTATATTTTTGACCTTTCTTGGTACCGGGAAACTCCGCACAGCATTTATTTTGTTGTCGTCGGGAGAGATTCTCATTGGAGATATACGGTGTCCGAGATAATTTACTTCATCACAGGCAAATTTGCATTTTTCAATTTGTAGTTTTAGATTGAAATGTCTGATTCGGTCAAGTATTTGTTTGACGTGTACCAAATGGTCTTCAAAAGTTTGTGAGAGTTTGTGCTTGCCATAGACTAAGCATTTGTCAATAGAATTAACATAACAGTATATGCGATTTACTCAAGTAATAAAAGTACTTGTTCGATTCTAATAATTCTTTTTATGTTAAACAAGTGACAAAAATCTAAATATAAAATATACTGAGGAACTAGCGTATATGGCACTCTTTAATTAGAACAGAAATGGTTTAAAACCTATAGTTTAAGAGTAATCGCCAAAACCTCGTGTGTGAAATACATAAATTATCTTTAATAATTTATCAAATTGAATAACAATAATCTTAAAATTTTTATCAACAAATGTAGTGAATAATATACCTGTATATACGTAATATACTTAAATGCTAAAAAAATATAGACTGTTGAAAATAGATGAATTGATGAATAATTTTACTCCCACCAACGTTTCACCATGATGCAATGGAACAACAGTACCCAACATTAATACGTTGGCGAACATTGAGTCTTTTGTGCCAATGCAAAACAGTCCAGTCACTGGTGACACGTGACACAGTTGAATTGGTAGAGTGACTAACTTAATGCCGAGTAAATAGATGGTCATTCTACCTGTAATTGTAAACTCCGTCTCTGTGCCATACGTGCTATCAATTGAATATTTTAAACTAGTTATGTATGGTATGAGAACATGGTGTCTGTAATGAAAGTGTTGTACGTCTGACCCATTCTCCATTATAATCTATCATAATAAAAATAAATTGTTAATTAATATTGTTACAATTATTTGATTTATTAAATGTAAATAAAATATTCATTAATATTATATTTTAATCAACATTTTTTATAATAAATATTTATATTTAATTTTATAATTTAACTATTAAACTATTTAACTTAATTAAATTATATTGAATATATTGACATATTCATGACTATTAATGAGTTAACTGTCTATGTTTAGACGTAAGACGACTTTTAGAAATGCATATGAAATAGTCATGCAAATGGTATAACTAATAATGAGTAAACATCAGGAGATCGCTAGTAGGCTTAAAAAGCTAGACTGGCAACACTAGCTCCCATAGAAAATACATTATAGCAATGCCCGCCAATGCCCAATTATGCCCACTCAGAGATCCCATGGTAAACATGATTATTTCATATGCATTTCTAAAAGACGTCTTACGTCCAAACATAGACAGTTAACTTATATGAATTCATGACACTTTAATATACCTTATAGTTACAGTGCATATGATTGAGATAACTCCCTTTTAGTGTTAGATTGTGATAGTTTTTTCCGAGAAAATCCTGGGGGTAGTTATTGGGGTCCTTATCCTCCGAGTGGTGCCAAACATATATCACTTCATTCTTCTCTATTGTCTGCCATTTCTTTACCACAGCTTTCAATGCATTTAACTCAGACTCTATGAAAACATTATTAATTCATACAATATTTTTAATTAATTTATAAATAATTAATAGTAATAGTTATAGACAATGTCTATTAGACATACCGTTGAGATTAGGTATGCGTTTGCACTGTCCGTCTCCGCCAAACCTCCAGCCATGGAATGGACACTGAA